TGCGTGTCAGTCTTTACTTCCCCCAGCCTGAGGTTGCAAAAAGTGAGAGGGCTGAAGGCAGGTTTTGCCTAGTCCTTTCTCGTTCACCCTCGAGACGAACCTAGTGGCAGCACCAGAGACATCAGGCAGCATCTAGAGTAGGGGTGGTGGGAGATGGTCTCCTCCCCAGCCACCTGGAAGGTGTTTCAGACCGTGGACCCTTGTGTACCTCCCTCTGTCCAGGAGAAGCAGCCAGGACCTTAGCTCATCCCCCCCACACCATTTGAATGACCACGAGTGTCAGCTGATGTTCCCTCTCCATTGCAAGGCCTGTTTGTTTGTGTGAGAGCGTTGACCATTGTTTCATCTGAGTCCAGCATTCCCGCCTGACTGTGAACATCGGCTTCCAGCAATCCTGTCTCATTTAGCCCCATTGAGCTTTGAACAATGTTCTGTTCCCCGTGGCCCTGTCTTGTGTGCAGAGGCTGCAGGCAGTGCTTTGGCCTAATGCCAGCAGGGGAGCAGGAGCTTTGGCTGATGCTTTGTCTGGGTGGCACAGCCCCATCCCAGTGTATGTGAGCTTCTCGCCGAGCTGCCCTCTGTCCCACTGCCCATCTGTCTGACCATGCACATCATCTATGGGCAGGAGGAGCCCCTTCTCCACCAGCCTCGGTTGCCTTGTACACTAGCACAGTAACCAGCAGCCCTGCCCACAGGCCGCCCAGACAGGGCAGAGGTGCTGCTCATGCCTCAAGCACTGAAGGAGGATGAGTTTCCATTCAGTGGTTAAAAAGTAAAGTGGTGTTTCTACACAGGGTCAGTGCTCAGATTGCATATAAACTGCATTGCTCACCTGGCCTGCCCCCTGCTTAGATGTGCAGCCTTGATACTCTTTGAATACAGCTTTGGCCATTTCATTTCCTACTTTGTTCAAGATAGAATTTATTTTTTAAAGAAGAAAGAAGAGGAAAGGCCTAATTCTGTAACCAACAAGCATCAGGCAGCATCTGTTGATTTTGCAAGTTAGGGGCACATTTTTAACCTGTGTTACCTATGCTACATTCCTTCAAGACTCCCTCTCACCCCCCCCGTGCGCGCGCGCGCGTGCGCACACACACACACACACACACACACACACACACACACACACACAGTAGCAGCACAGTTAAACCATGCTCCTGACAACATGGGAAAAATTCTGCTCTCATTTTTACATCTGTAAATCCAGACTGATGCCCCTGAAGTCAGTGAAGTTTCTCCAGAGCTAATGAGTGTAACTTAGAACAGACTATGAGTCATTGCACAGAATATGAGTATAGACTAGAACAGAAGTCACTGAACTGTGGTACTTCCAAACCAGATTTCTTTGTGCATAGTTTAGGTTGTAGCCCTCAGTGAGGTTTACAAAACAAGGTGATTAGTACAGAAGTACTAATGTACTTACCTTGCTTTGAACTCAGCTCTGAGCTTAATTGAAACTAGTCACTGCACATACACTTCAGTGTTGGTGACTGGCTAAACCTCGTCTGTTCAAGTGGCCAAAGTGCCTCCTGCCTCCGCCGGGATGAGCACCGGCCCCAGGCTTCAGACACCTGCCACATCCGATATTCCAAACCTGTCTGAAGAACAGAGGAAGGGGTTTTATTCTTCAGAAAACGCTGTTCTGGCGAAACCAAAAAAGGGAAGCCTCAGCCCAAAGACAGATGTCGCAGAAGGCTCTTAGGCATGAAAGTAGGAGGCTAGAATGGACGCTGTTTTGGCGCTGCATGCTACAGTTCTACTGTGAAAAGTGACTGAATAAAACTGGCACACTGTCACTCAGTCGGACAGTGTCCCCGGTATGTCTGAGTCAGAGCTGCTCGTGTTCATGACTAAGATAAGCTTTCACTATGCACAGTGCCTGTTGGCTCTGCAAAGCCAGCACAGTTAGGAGAGCAAAATGAAGTCTATCCCTTCCTGTGCATCATCAATCAAATTATTGGCTGAGTTCCAGCCAGTGACTCCAGTGCAAGCGCACTGAAAACAACAGGGTTAGGGAGGGATCTCATGGGCAGACATGGCCTGAACAACTTTTGTTGCTGAGGATGATGATGGAAGGGCAGGATCCTTGTTGGTTCTCAGAACTCAGCTCCGGCAATTAAGAAAAGGCAGGGCTTTTTTTACTTTTAAATTCACACATTTGTTCTGGAATCAGTGAAGAAAATAAAATGAAAGCCTTATGCTTCCCGGCTATCCAGTCATTTTTCAGAGTCGAACCCAACTTTAATGCTACCAAAAGCCTATTATAATTCCAATTGCACCTCAAGCACCCAGCTCTTCCCACCGCCTGTAGAATTCAGCCTTTGTGTGTGCAAGAGTCAGTCACTACTGACCACACAGCTAGAATCAGCGGGGTTCATTTCCTGTTGCTGCGACTGTAACCACGTTAGTCAGAAGTCAGCCTACATATGTATCCTTATAAACTAAGTAAATATGAGGTGGGGTGGGGAGGGAGGAAGCACAAGCTTTTGTGAGCTTGAGTTCACATCATTTAGGGAGAGCAAGACCAGCTCAGCTTGTTCTATTAGAAAGTCCCTACTTGGTCTGGTGTGAAAAAGGTGTGAAAAAGGTGTAAGTGACCTAGGGAATATAGATGAGACAGTCAGTTATACCAGTTAGCTGGTGTGAAAAATGAATTAGCTGAAGATGAAAGCACCATTAGTTATTTTTTCTGACTGCAGAAGATTGAACAAATATAGGGCAAAGAAGAAAACACCAGTAAGAAATTAAGAGCAGTGACAGAGAAAGAAAAGCTCGAAATAAAGAGAGTGGTGAGATTTGAGAAGCCAGCCAGATGGAAGATACTCCAAAGCTGGTACCCAAGTCTGCATGAGTCCTCCTCCCAGCCGTGGCAATCCCCCTATCACAGTCCTTTGGGGGTCAGCATTTCCCTGCCTGTCATGACCCCTGCCCTTCCACTCCCAGTTCATCCTTCTGATGATAGGAAAGTAGGTCTAGAAGGGACTTCACAAGGTCAGCCAGTCCAGCCTCCAGCTCCAGGCAGGAGTGAATTGATGAAACCATCCCAGCCAAGTGTCTGTCCAACCAGCTCTTGAAATTTTCCAGCCATGGCAAGTCCACCACTTCTCTAGGCCGCCTATTCCAATGCTTGACTACCTGCAGAGTCAGAAAGGTCCTCCTAAATGCCAACCTCAATTTTCTATGCTGCAGCTTGAGGCCATTGCTCTTACTCCTGCCCCTATGACCACAGAGAAAAGTCCATCTCCATCCTCTCTATACCCACACTTCAGGTATTTGATGATTGTTATCAACTTCCCAACTCAGTCTTCTCTTCTGCAGACTAAATAACTCTCGCTCTTCCAGCCTTTCCTCGCCAGTCTCACCTCCTCTTAGGCCTCTAATCATTTGTGTCACCATACCAAAAAGAGCACAGTTCTCTCTTATTCAGCTTATGATGTACTGCAACCCCCCCCAGGCCCTTGTCTGCAGTGCTACAGCCCAGCCTGTCACTCCTCAGTCTGAATTTGTGCAGGCAATTATTGCAGCCCAAGTGCAGGACTTTGAACTTTTCCTTGCTGAATCTCATCTGATTAATTATGAACCATTTTTTTCCCAGTCAGGTAATTCTGGTTAGGTCACTCTGGATCCTAGCCCTGCCCTGTGGAGTACCCAGGACTCCACCCAATTTTGTCCCCTGCAAATTTGCTAATCATTCACTCAATCCCATTGTTTAAACCATTAATTAAGATGCTGAATAATACCAGACACCCCCCCACCCCCGGAACAGACCCCTGGGGAACCCCACTTGATACCTCCCTCAAACTGGACTTTGAACCACTGAGGACTACATGATGAATACAATGATTCAAACAGCTGTGTATCCACCTTACAGTACTTTGACTTAGTCTGTATTTCCTTTGCCTGGTAATGAAAATGTCATGGGAGGCCATGTCAAAAGCCTTGCTAAAATCAAGGTATACCATGTCCACCGCTCTCCCCCACATCCACAGAGCTTGTCACATTATCACAGAAGGCAAAAGGTTGGTAAGGCGTAACTTGATCTTGGTCATCCATGTTGGCTGTTCCTGATCACCATGTTCTTGTCTATGTACTTCACAATAAATTCCTCGAGGATCTGCTTCATGGTCTTACCAGGTATTGAGGTCAGGCTGACTGGTCTATAATTCCCTAGATCCTTCTTCTTCTCTTTCTTAAATATGGGTGCGATATTTGCCCTTTTCCAATCATCTGGGACCTCACCCAACCTCAATGAGTTCTCAAAGAGGATATCCAATGGCTCTGAAATTAGCCAGTTCCCTTAGTATCCTAGAGTGCATCCCATCCAACCCTGCTGACTTGAAAGCATCTAGCTTCCTTCTATGTAATCCCTAACCTCTTTTTCCACTACTTTAGGCTCTTTGTTTCCTTCTCTATTGTTGCTGCCAACTGAGTTCATCATCTCGTAGCTGCCCTTAACTGTGAAGACTGAAGTTAAAAAGGCATTTAATGCTTCAGCCTTCTTTGCATTATACATAACTAAATCACTTTCTGCATTCTGTAAGGGCCCTACAATGTCTCTGCTCTTCCTCTTGACATGCTTGTAGAATCCCTTTCATTGTATTTTATGTCCCTTGCCAGCTGCATCTCAAATTACGTCTTGGCCTTCCTAATTTTCTCCCTGCAAGCCTGTGCAATGCCCTTATACACTCCCCTAGTGCTATGGCCAAGTTTCTACTTTCTGTAGAATTCCTTTTTGAGTTTCAGTTCTTTGCAGAGATTGCTGTCTATCCAGGTGGGTCTCCTATTGCACTTACTATTCTTCCATCACATTGGGATAGCTTGCTTCTGTGCTCTTAATTGGCATCCTCATGCTAAGGACTACCTGCCCACTCTCATGATACCATCCTCCAGGAACTGACCCTTTCTCATTAGGTGAGGCCTTATGAGCAGTTTGGATGGACACAAAGGAAAAAATAAATTTCCTTTCACTTGTTTTGCAATAAAGACAGTACCAAGGCTATCCCCAAGCAAAGGACATGAATTTTGGAGACATAGTAAATAAGAAGAGCTATGACATTGGGCAATTCAACTCCAGCCTAAGAAGCTTCTACTGTGTGTGAGAAGATTGTGAGCATGCTTAGGAAATACCTATGCAGGGAACCAACATTGGTTGGTTGACTTTAAAACTTGCCCTCTCTTCAAGGGAAGGCTTTCTGGAGCAGATCTGCATCATCAGTGCACTAAGGACTTTGGCAGGCAAGGTTCTTTGGGTAGACATGATATCTTTTATTAGGCCACCACCCAGGGTCTGGACTATTCTTGGCCATGTGTCCCCTGGGAAACACAGGCCTCATAGTCCTAGAAGGTGCTCAACCCACTGCAAGAACTTGGGAAGCTTCCTGTAGCCTGGGGCTTAAATAGTAGTCTCCCTTCATCAGCTGGACCAAGGGAACACAAGGGCATGCCCCTCTCCCAGCCAGGTCACCACATTTAGAACGATGGAGCACTTCATTGGTTACAAGGAGTAAGTTTGGGGTAGGGTACAGGATAGAGGTATTACAGAATAACCATGGAGCAAACAGTGTGGCTAGGTGGACATTGATTACTCAATTGCTGTCCTGCAAGCTATATATCTAGATAGATCTCAAGTACCTTACTCACAAGTATCTTCCAGAGGCTGGTTGCTTTCCTCTGGAGGCAGGCAGTTTCTTGTATGTCCAGTTTCGAGAGAGAGAGAGGGCTGCAGCGTTCAGCTGCTCTTCCTCTCTCCCCAGGAGCCGTAGGGCTCCAGCATGGAAGCTCTCTCCCTGCTTTGCAGCATGGCTCTGCCAAAAATGGTTCCCCCCTCCTTCTTCATGGGGACCCCTTTTATCCCCGATCATGACCACATCACTAAGGTCCCACCAGGAGCAGGCCCACTGGCTGAAACCCGGTGCTTTCAAATGACATCACCTTTCCAGGTAAGGAAGCTAGTCACATGACTTGCGGGGGGGGGACTTGAGACAAAGGGAGCATCTGGCTCAGGTTACATAGGCAGAGCTAGTTGCCGGGAATGTATCTGGCTCAGGTTACACCTCAGGATTACCTGAAGCAGGGTGTGGGGAGGGCCGCCTGCCCACCGCAGTGACCATGGTAACCAAATGGACAGACAGGTGATAACCCTGATAGCAGTTTGGGGAGACACTGATGCATTCTGTCACAGGGGTCTCTGCTGTTCCCAAGGAATGAAAGAAGCTAAAAGTGTGACAGGATGTCAGTGACAATATAAAGAGGTGGAAACTAGGAAAAGAAATGTAGAGAAGGGAAGGGAGGGGCAAAAAAAGCCAAAGGTAGGTAAGGGAAACTCTATTGTAGTAGTTTTCCAAGGTAGAAAAGAGTGTCTGTGAAAAAGCAAATAGCTGGAAATTAGGAAGACTAAAGGTAGAAAAGGAGGGGAAGGAAGGAAGGGGGCGGGGGAGGAAAGTGTAAAGGGTCAGGTCTGGCAGGTACCTGGTGAACCAGATGTCAGGCAAGTTGTAATGTGTCATAAACCCAATATCCAATATCCAACACCTCATCTGCGAAAGGTGTTTTGTAAGTCCCCTTTTACAAAACAGCTTTCGTAGACAAGCCTACAAACTTCGCTTCATAAATCTACTAGATACAAAAAATCATGGACTCAATATAGACATTGGATTTATGACATATTACAACCTTCCTGACATCTGATTCACCAGGTACCTGCCAGACTTGACCTTTTACACTTTTCTTCCCCCTCCCCACCCCCTGCCCCCGCCTTCCTCCCTTCCCCTCCTTTTCTGTCTTTTCTCTTCCTAATTTCCAGCTATTTACTTTTTCACAGACAGACTCTTTTCTACCTTGGAAAACTACTCCAGTAGAGTCTCCCTTACTTACCTTTGGCTTTTCCCCCTTCCTTCCCTTCTTTACCTTTTGTTTTCCTAATTTCTGCCTATTTACATTCTCTCTGACAGCCTGCCACATTTTAGCTTCTTTCTTCCTTGGCGTCTCAGAACAGCAGAGACCCTCCCCCCCATACCTGAAGGAGGGTGGTTGCACTGGAAAGTTTGCAAATAACTAACTTTCTTCCAACTACTCAGTTGGTCTAATAAAAGATATCACATCTACCCAAAACACCTTGCCTGCCAAAGTCTTTAGACCAACACAGCTACAACCAAAAACCTAAGGAATTTGAGGCATCGCATCCATGTTCATGGATTCATACAGTTATAAGGCCAGAAAATACCATTATAATCATCCAGTCTGAACTCCTGTCTAAGGCAGCCATTGCACTTTACTAGAAATCCCTGTGGAAAGCTAACAGCTTGCATTTTACTACAGCATGCCTTTCGGGATGGCATCCTGTCTGGACACAAAGATGTAGAGGTATGGATTGCTCCCCGTGGTAATTTATTCATGGAAAGTCACCCTCCCTGTTAAAAACCGGGGCCTTATTACAAACTTGAGGCTGTCTGGCTTTAGCTTCCAGCTATCAACTCTTGTTTAGGCCTCTTTGCACTGACTAAGAACTCTCTAGTACTCAGCATCTCCTCCTTGTGCTGGTACTTTTACACCACCGTAGAGCTGCTATGTGGTCTTTTAGCTGAGCTAACAGATGGGGCCCTTTAAGACTCACTGTAGCAGTTCCCAGTTTTTCTTCAGTGTCCACAGCGGCCTCGCCCATGTGAAATGCAGAAGTATGATAGCCCCCTTGTCATCTTGGCAGGTCCTCCGTTAATGTCTCCGTTTTAGCCCAACACCATACAACAAGCTCTTGTTCAGTTGGTTTCTACTCGTGGGTCACTGTGAGAGTCATTGCTTTCTAGAATATTGTCCTGCATACTGTAAGGGTGACCTTACAGACTTTGTTTCTAGATGCATGACCTGCCAGTCAGCTTATTACCGTATATATTTTTCACTTTGTATGCCAGATAGCCCTGGAGAACTGATGGGATCCACAGGGCATACTCTAGGCAGTTACCCTTCCTATCTGCATTGTAGGGACAGGCCTCCTCCTCTTACTCTCGATCTTCACTGACAAGATACTTCAGGTCTCAAGGCAGGATGCGAGTCAGAGCCAGTGCTGGACCTTTCTTCTTTGTTCTGCTCTTGAGACAAGCAGGTGTCTAGTTCTGGATGGGTCGGGAAGCTCAGGAGAGAGGCACCTGCTGTTCAGGACCTAGCATTTACCTCTCTCCAAAAACAAGAAGAGCCACCCATTGCCCAAATGAAGCGTAAGAGATTGCCTGAGCATGGCCCCCAAACAGGCTTCCCCAAGACGAGCCTCCGTGGTGAGACATATCAGTGCCAGAGATGCTTTTCCCATCCAGACTGCTTATCCAACATTTTCCCCACTGCTTGCTGAGTGAGTCTTTCACTGAGCCTGTCGCACTGACACGGGAGGGCCTCCTAGAGATACTCTGAGTGGCTGCGCTAGCATCTTCCACATGGGGTTCCTTTTCCATTCCTCTCCTCAAACAGAAAATTATGATGGACGATTATTTGCTTTGTTTTATAAGCTTCGAGGTGTTAAGATCGGAGGCCAAGTAAAAGCAAGTGAGCTTTGTATTTGGAAAGGAGCAAGTGAAGTCTGAGGGGGTTGTGATGTCCACATGCTTGGACCAGCTCCTGAGAAGGTTTTGTCTCCGGCACTGACAAGCCTCACCTTGCCCTCGGAGCTGCACTGTGCCTAAGGAGCAGAGCTAGCGGCAGCAGTCCTGCTCCCTGTGCGTAGGTGAGATACTGCAAATCACAGGCCCAGAATTTGAAGGCATGCTTTGAATTTAAGGAATGAGATCCGGTTCCTGACACATCCATTTTCAAAGGACCAGGATGGTCAGCAGAGGGTAGGTGTGGTGGCTGATCAGTGGAAACAAAAGAAAAGACTCCATTTCCATCAAGGACACTGCAGAATTATGGAGAGTACAGCGAGGGGCAGTGAGAATGGCACAAGCCTGGAAGATTCTTGCAAAAAGAGATATCACAAAAGCTGGGACTGTCACCTGTGAAAGCAGACAGGAGAGGTGTATACAGTAATGGATACACAGCAGAGCGTCTGCACACCCTCTCTCATAGCACAGGAAGGAGGCCACGTGCAATGGTGTTAAAAGTCAGGAATCCCAAACGGGTGAAGGAAATGCGTCTTTCCACAGTGTGCAATCAGCCCGGGCCACAAGAGACGTGTTCTGCCAAGAGGCCTGTCACCGTGGTGTCTGAGCCTTCCACCAGCACGTGCGGCACGGTGCCTCGTGTGGGGCCTGGCTGCACTGGGTGTGGTTTGTGTTTCTAATGTCCATGAAACAATAGCAGGAGCTTAGCCAGGCGCTAATGAAGAGTGTGTACATCTGGAGTCACAAGGGTGAGTGTCACCGTGAAGTATGGAGGGGTGCTAGAGCATCCAGCACACCAGGAGAGATTAACCTGAGACCAGCCTGAGGCAGACTATCCCACATCTCTTCCTGTGCACATCTCACACCTTCCTCAGAAGCATTCCCTGTGTCAAGCAGTCACTGTCTTTATGCTGTACCTGTGTTGCCACGGTGGCCCACTGCTGTGCTCGGTATTCCCTGTGGTGTCCCAAGCGCGGATATTTTACGGGTGAGCCCCATCTGTCAGCTGGGGTCAGAAGAGCAGCAAGGTCTGTGTGGGCTGAGAGGACACGGGCCTTTTGGGCGCCAGCTTGTTGACGGCTGCTGAGGTGAAGTGTTTGCCGTTGTGCTGGCTGAACATATCGGCACCTCCGAGGCTGGGTAGGGAAGCGTGGCTGTTTGTTGGCACAGCTGTTCATGTGGAAGCGCCTGTGAGCCTTTCTGGATGAGCCAGGATTGTGACCTGTGCAGTTGTCCGGCCTCTGGGGGAGCCCAGACGTCCAAGTCAGTGACTGGATTGCGACAGCCTCAACAGCCAAGAGCACTGTCCGTTACAAGCGCGTGGGCGGCGGGCTGGCCACTCAGCCTCGGGTACAGTCTCTGTGACTGTAGTGCCTGCCTTGGCCGTGTGTCTAGGCGATGGCTCCAGGCAGGACTGAAATACCTTTTCTGGTTGGCTGTTCTTCCCAGTTTGGCCGAAGCAGGAAATGAAGTTGGCTGAGTAGGGGACTTTTGTGATGCCACGTTGTCTCATTTTCCAAACAAAAACAGATTCACTTGACCCCGTTTAAGACACTCAGGTAGCAGAGTCCTGGGAAGGAACAAAGTTGCCAGGGCCCATGGTCTAGAGAGTGGTGTAGAGGATACTAAGAGGTCATACACTGCATACTTAGCTCAGTCTCCTGTCTCCTTACTGCCTCCAGGAAAGGGATTAAGGCGCTTTTGCACTTCCAAAAATGCTATTTTGGGGCCGAGTCTATACAAGATGCTACTATGCAGTGGTTACTGTGCATTTATTTAGTACTTGTATAATCAAGTACTAAATAAACGTGCAGAAACTAGAGTTACTGCGCAGTAGTGCCAGCTAATGCCTTTTTAGTGACACTACTGCGCAGTAGCATATTAGCTCTGTTTGTGCTGTGATGCACTACTGCATTTTACAGTATTATTCAGCCACTGCGCAGTTAGCATCTCATGTAGATGCACCCAGTGAGTCCTAAATACACGAAGGCGATGATTATTTCTTCTCCTTCTGGACTATTGTCATTTGTGAAACAGTATCCAGATGTTTGATGCCAGACTTCCAAAGCAAGTTTTATTCTCCCAGCTCAAAGAAAGCATATGCTCAAAAGGAAGGCAGAGAAAGCACTTCAAGGATGTCCTCAAGACCAACTTGAAAAAATGCATCATCTACATTAACTTATGGGAGGCTGTTGTCCAGGACTATCGGAAATGGAGGAAGAGTCTGCTGCAGAGATCTCAGTACTTTGAAACCTCACAACAACAACAGGAGACAGAAAGGTGGGAGCAGCAGAAACAGTATGTCGTGGGCTG